ATTTATATATATATGTAGCTAGTACAAAAACGGTTAAAATCATATTTTTGACAGCATGATTACGTACTTGCAAAATGATAAAAAAACATTCTCCGGAAGGTCCTCGGGGCTTTTTTTTTTTTTTTTTTTTGTAATTACTGCAACGTTGGAGAATTTTTGCATGTGGGAAAAATACACCTCGTAAGAATTGCATGTTTCATTCTTTTTCTTTTAAAGAACCAGAAACGCCTTGTAGCAAGGAGTTTAGGGTTGATGCTCTCAAATTCATTTGCCATCTGAAAGGGGTATAGATTTGTTTGCCCCGGCTGCACGATAGAATGAAATACAAACAGTTTGTGGAAAGAGCGCCAGAATATCAGTTATGTATGAACAATTGTTTTCACAACACTTAGGTTTTTGAAATTAGCTTGAAAATCGGAAAGTGTGTCAGAATTTCGGAAAACTGTGTCAGAATTTCAGAGGGTGTGTCAGAAGTTTCTGCTTCAGGATTCGTCAATTTAGTCTGAAGCAAGCGGGAAAAACCAGAATCAGGGTCATTTTGGGCGGAGGTTTCTTCTAGTTACCATTCGCGTGATCGGCTGCTAGTGTATAGTTACCATACGCGTTAAGCGAGTTACCAAACGTGTTGAGCGAGTTACCAAACGCGTTGAAATCGTTAACGTACGCGTTATAGTGCCCCATGTAAGTTACCATAGACATATTTTCCCTTCTTATATACCTGGATATGACACCCAAGGAGAAGATAAAACAGCTTTGTATATTCTTGTGTCCATATTTGTTCTGGCAAAATACAGCTTGAAAATTACATAGCCAGATGGTACCCCGTCCCCAAGCCCCATTGATCACCAAATCCGCATTGGTTGATTTTTTTATGTCCAGGAATTTTCCTGATTGTGAAACATTCTACACACTACCTAGAGTAAAATCGCTACACTACGGTATATTTCGTATAACAATCAAATAATAATCGAAGTACAAAGCCAATGTATTCAGCGTATGTCTAACTAGCCCTATCAACCACAGGTCCACAGCTACTCCATGGCAGCATGCCATCCATGCCCACCCCGGCATGGACTGGCAGTGCACTGCACAGGCAGGGAAGAAGGCTGAGCCTTGAGCATTGCCAGGACCAAGACGTGCGGGTGCCCTACTAGGGACTGGCTCTGCCCACCCCCACCTCCACCAAATGACATCACTGCTGGCCAGACAGCTTTGTCACTTGGTGGGGGCGGGAGGGGACAGAACCAGTCCGGTTTGGCCCGGAATCGAGTCCCCAGCCAATGCTCAAAGCTTCACCCCCTCTCGTGCACTGGCCACATGGCTTGCAGGCTTGCCGCCCATGAAGGCACCTGCAGGCAGAAGAAACATAAAGATTAGTCCATGATCAATATAAAAAGGAAAAAAAACAGCATTCATCCAAGCAAATCAACAAACAAAATAAAACCATGTGCATGAAAAAAGAGAGCTCGAAGGTAAGGGCTGAAACTTATCTGTGGGTTAGGAGCTTGAAGTGTGGAGCGGTGCTTGGGCGTTGAGACGCTTCGGCAGGCCATGGCTTGCCACCCACTGAGACTTGTCGCCCATGCAGGCACCTGCAGGCAGAAGAAAGACAAAGATTAGTCCATGGTCAAAAAGAGAAGGCAAGAAAACAGCATGCATAAAAAAATCAGCAAGCGTGGAGATACCAGTGGAGTAGCATTCGAGCGAGATATCAAGGGAAAAGGCTGAAGTTGGAAACTTATCTTGCAAAGCTTGTGCCTTGAGGTGCTCCCATGGATCCTGATTCTTGGGCATGTTGAAATCCCTTTGTGCAGCAACCTGCCAAGTGAAATCAGGAAATTCAAGTTAGTAAACCAAGTCAATGAAGGAAAACGAATCAGCATGCAGGCAAGTGACTAAAACGAAGAGGGGTGAAACGAGACTTACTGCTGGTGGAGAGAGAGGAGGCACCTGCCAGGTGCTGTTGGCAGGTACGTTCACCCCGCCTTGGAGCTTGCCAGTGCGGTGCTCCTCTGAGCACAATTGGAGCGTGGCACAAGGACCTCGAATATAACCTGCAAGGAGATCAAGGAAACTAGGTTAGTAAACAGCAGTAAACAGAACATGCAGAAACGGACGGTGCTGCAAGTGTGGTGCAAGTGTGCACTGCCTACAGAGCCAATACCAATAAAAAAACCTTAGGGGGACCTTTACCTCGACCTTTACCAAACCTCAACCTTTACCATCACCTTGACCTGAACCAAGGGGGGTGGCTCCGAGGAGTGTGGAGTGGGTGGTTGATAAGTTCAACCTTCACCTGCCCTGGAGCTGCTCCTCTGTTGTACGCCACGAAGCATAGAAGGACGCCAAAACGATGTTGCTCCTCTGAAGTCATCGCAGCAGACCCTCAGATAGAACCTGCAGGTATGACAACAAACAAGAATTAGTAAAGGTCGAACAATAAAGAATGCAAAACGAAAAGCGTGAAAAAAAAGAGCCAAATACCAACCGAAAAACCTTTAGGGGGACCTTTACCAAACCTCAACCTGTACCTAACCTCAACCGGGGGGGTGGCTCAGTGAGTTTGGAGAGTGCGGTTGATACGTTCAACCTTCACTCGTGGAGCTGCTCCTCTGTTGTACGCCTTGAAGCATGGAGAGCCCCGAAGGCTGTTGCTCCTATAAAATCTTCGAAAGTGCGCCTAGCAGCATCCAATAGCACCTGCACGTATAAGAAAAACATGAAGTCAGTAAACGGAAGTAAAGAAAGCAAAAGGAATTGAAGACTGCGAACGTGAAAGAAACGTGAAAGACCCACCACAGAGCCAGTACCAACGAAACACCTTGGGAACCTTAACCGAACCTGTACCAAACCTTTACCAGGGGGAAGGCTCTGTGGTGAGTGGTGGTGAAAGGTGATACATTCAACCTTCACCGTCACAAGTCGGGGAGATCGACGTCGCTTCTGCCATATCGTAGCTGGCGTCGCGACGAGGTCCATGAAGAGATGCAGATCCACGACGATCCGATGACGACCGTGGTGTCCTGCGCATAATACAACAACGAGCACCATTGTCAGAATCGGCGTCGAAACAAACTGAAGACCGCGTGCATTAACGGAAGCAGACAGCTGATACGAAAACGAAATACGGATGGTTGTTGTACCTGACGTCAAAATCGGCGACATGCGAAGTTGACTCGCTACGTTGAGGAAAATCCCACGGTCGAGGTTATGAAGCTCCGTGATCCGCACATACGATCCAGGCCAGGCCGAATGGTGTCAACGCGAGAAGATGGCGATCGTTCTAAACTGGTAGAGCGGAAGCCAAGCTCGACTGGCAAAATGCGTAGAAGGCTGCGGAAACTGACTAATTGATGAAAAGACGCGCCGGAATATGAGGTGAGCCTGAAGATGCTTGGAATGTCTGACCGCGGACCGTTGCGATGCGCTATTCGGTGAATTCATTCAGCGGTTCAAAAACTGCCTTGCTGGCTGTGACGGCGGTCCCAAACTTGCCACCCTGGAATATGGTGGATCATAACGATTCGCCGACAAAAGCATGGCCCCAGCTCTTATTGGACCGCCAAATGAATCCCACGTTTTGATTGGACCGCCAAATAAACCCCACGTCTGATTGGACCGCCTACACTATCCTATGTCATCAATGTGGGACATTTATGCTGTTTCAACGGCCAGAAACAAAACACGGTGGAAACACAGAATTTGATTATCTAATGACGTGGCCTATAGAACTTCCGCTCATCCAACCGCCGCGATCCGTTTCCCGAAGCGTGCTGCTAAATTGAGCCGCTCTAGTGCTTAGGAGGCGGCTGGCAGAAGAGTTGTGGGAGGGAACTGAAGTTGGGTCTGACACAAGCAGCCGTAGAGAGGAGCGACGGAGGAGGTGTAAAATCAATCATCTGCCAGAAGGAGAGGCTGGGGTGATGGCTTAGCGAATTGGCGAGCTCACAAGTAACCTGTGCTGCCAGTCGGTCCTCAGTGGCATTCAGAAACCGAGTTTTCGCCAAACCGTGTTGCAGCCACAATATTAGAGTTGAGTGGCGACGCGGTTCGCGAATGAAATTCGTGCATTGCGTGGAAGGCGACGTATTTGTCATTTCGCGATTGTGCAGATTTGATGAGTGCGGGAACATGGAGGGGTGTCGGATGCCTGACGGATGGTCCAATCTGGTTGAGCATGGTTCAAAAGATTTTACTGGTTATGCATTGCACTGGGATGGGAAGTCGATCGTGACATCTCCCCTGCATTTGTTCGCGGATGAGTCAGTGCGGTTCAGACGGTGAATACGAGGTAGAGAACGGTATGTTGCCGTGAGTTTCTGAATCACTAACACTAAATTTCACTAAATTTCTCTCATCCGTGTTGCGAGGGCGCTTTTGCAAATTCCAGTGTCAGATGGGTAAGGGAAGCCGAGCCGCTGCGGTAGTTTATTTCAATGGCTTCAGGAATCAGGCAAGAGGTAGCAGCACTCTCAGTAGCTCGCCCTCTCCCGTTCCAGCAGGACAGACTCAATATCTTACCTGCTTCGATTGCCCTCGAGAATGCACTTTCGTCACTCCCACGAGAGTTACGGCGGCTTGGAGTGTCGCAGCGGAACGGCAATGCTGGGTGTGGACGAAGTCGTGTGGGTGAAGTACCGCGGCATGGGCGCCGTCTGGCCGTCGAGATCGTGTCGCGCGATGTTCTGCCTGCGGCCGAGCGACGGCGATGACGAGACGACGACCACGTGCCCGTGCGACTCCTCGGAGGCGAGGTATGCTGCGAATCGTGGCTTCCCGAATTGCCGTGAACGCTTTGCTCGTTGGAGACAAGTAGCAATCGCGGTGCGATGTTTCTTCACGGCGATCCTAGGAACTAGTTTTGGCGAGAGGGTCAGAGTGCACGGATCAACCATGCGATTCATGCCTTGAATATTCCGCGGAACACACTTATTAGTATAGTGCAGGAAGAACTGTTAAGCGCATGTTTTCAGTGTACTAGCGTGAGCACATGACGAGCGATGCCGTTAATGTTTGTTCTTTTCCATTTATCTCCCCCTCTCTCTTTACTGTCTCGCTCCACTTGCTCTGCGGCGTGGCAGTGTGAGATGACGGCGTGGGTGAGTCCGAGCGCCATATTCATGTGGACCAACGCCAACACCACCAAGCTCAGCCAGCAGACGCGATGCCCCAAGGTACGAGAAATCTGACGCAATCTGACACGATCTGACACGATCTGGCACGATCTGACGCGATCTGACGCGACCTGACGCGATCTCCTGAGAGACTGATACGATGCTTCAGATGTACACCATGCGCGTATGGACGGACGCGGTTCATGTGACCGACGCCCCTCGGAGGGGCGGAGACTTCAAAGTAAAAGTCGCTTCAGGCGTCTCGCGCTTCTCATCTCATGTGCCTCTAAGAGACGAAACTGCGCACTCGCAACACCTGCTGCACTCACGTGTGGTCACTCACGCACTCGTACCCTTGGTCCGTGGATCCTTACCCCTCTCCTGCGCTCAGAAAAAGCTCGATGATTTCAAGGCAGCGTTGGAGGAGGCTCAGGAGGTTGACAGCAGGACCAAGGGGAAGTCGGCTGGGTGCACTGGAACAGCAGGAGGGCTAGCTGCTAACGCCGCCTCAGCACCTGTGAGCAACCCATGGCTTGAGCTCCTGTTCTCCCACCTCTCATCACATCTGGCTTCAAGTAACTGCTGTGCGTCTCAAAAACTCGTTCCGTAGCATCAACTTGAATCGTTTCACTGGGGATTCGCTCGCTTTCTGCCTTGTATGTTGTATGCGGCGCGGGTTACTCTTGGACTGACTGACTGACTGACTGACTGACTGACTGACTGACTGATTGACTGACTGACCGTGCGTGCACCTCCTCCACTCAGCAGAAGCAGCAGGAGGGCGACGGTTCGAGTGCACAGCAGCCGGTGCACCTGTCACAGGAGATACATGACGAGGAGGGCTGTTGTGTGCACTGCCGCGTGCATGACTACACGCGCAGCTTTGGCCCCAGGTACACGTGTTGACGTTTCAATCAGCTGCCTGGGTTCTCTCGTTTGTTCTTCACTGTATCTTTTGCTGAGAAACGTTTTCTGTGAGTAGCCTCTCTGCTTTCAGTTCAACGCAGCTCAGGATTCACTATTCCTCTCTGTCCCCCCTGTGCTCACCTTTTCCTCCCTCCTCCCTCTTTGCATCCTTGTGTGTGCTTGCGTGTGCGTGTGTGTGCACGTTGCTGTGCTCGTGAATCCACCTCACAGGTGCATCCTCATCTGTTCATGCTGTTGCGATGAATGGCATGTGAGGTCAATCTCCATCACTCACATCCCGCCTTTTCCGTACAGTCCGCATAGCAACCCCATGTTCTCCAAATGGCCCCTACTTACTGCTCTATCTGCTCATCTCTTCCGCTTACTCCTTCCTTTCTTTCCCTACCGTTTCTCCGTTACTGTTTCTGTCATACCTCTGATCATTCCCAATGTTCATTGCCCACATCCCCTTATCCTCCCACCACTGCCATGCCAACCCATCCATCCATTGCCCGTTCCCATGAGCCCCTTCCCCCGTCCCTTGATTCCCACACGCCATGCATCGTCAGCTGTGCGGAGGAGGTGCAGGGAGTGAAGGTGCACGCCTCAGTGCTCAACAGCGATGTGGAATGCCCTTGCTCCCCCTCCTGCGCCAAGGTCAGCCTCAACCACACACACATGCTGCCATGCTGCCTTGCCTACTTCTGCTCCTCTCACCTATGCCGTGCTGTACCGTGCCGTGCTGTGCCATGCCGTGCCATGCCATGCTCAACCGTGCCATACCGTGCCGTACCGGGCTGCACCGTGCCTTGCAGGTGGCGGCGGAGCTGAAGGGCGTGGAGGGCAAGAGAGGGGAGATCTCCCCTCTCCATGCAGCTCGCCCGATACAATGAGAACCACCGAGGTCATTCACACAGGGAATCTGTACCTTTTGGACTGATGCTGTAGTTGGATTGGACATATAGGAAGTTTGTCATCAGAATGAGAGAATGTGTGTCACCACCATGGTGGGATTGCTAGATTTCAACCCAAATCTGATTGTTACAAGATCTGCTGCAAGAGCATGTTACCACAATTGGAATAAGATCTTTCAAACAAATCAAACCGTATTAGGGTCCTCGTACAGATGGTTATTTCTCAATTGCGGTACCGTAACAACATTGTCGTGATGCCTGATTGTCTGATGTGCATGGAACCACTCGGTTTGTCATGTCATCTTAGACAAGCCGTAACAACCCTAGTCTACACTCTCAGCTACAGTAGCAGCATCTTGCTACAGTACCGTCCAGTCCGGCCAACTGCCATGCCAGCCTTTTCCTGCCTAGGGAAGATCATTCCCTCCTAACCGTAATGGAGGACGCGCACAGGACAGCAAAGCTTGTGCCACTTCACACCGTCTCATAAACCTGCTGCTGCGGCTACTTCTTCAGAAAGAGTGTTTTCTGCTTGACGGTGATGGAGGCGTGCAGGATGGCGAGGTTGTGGCGCAGGTGGGAGTTGTGGGTCCTGTGGTGAGCCCCCGCACCTCGTCCACCAGCTCACACTATCCCCATGTCATTCTACCGTGCACAGAGACTTGCACCTCGTCCACCAGCTCACACTATCCCCATGTCATTCTACCGTGCACAGAGACTTGCACCTCGTCCACCAGCTCGCCCACCTTGCTCAGCATCGCCTCCTGCGCCTGCCGCCCTGCTGCCCTCTCCACCTCCACCTGCTGCTCTGCTGCCCGCCGCTTGCTTCTCTCTGCTTTTGCCTCCTGGTGCGGGATGGAGGGGTGGGTGGTAGAGGGTGGGTGCAAATGGGTGGGTGGAAGCAGGTGGGAATGGGAGAGTGAGAGTGGGTGGGTGGGTGGGTAGGAGTGGGTGCGTGCAAATGGGCTTTCATGGGGATAGGTTCGTGGTTTACACGGGCATCAAGACAAGAATCCTTGCCACAAGAGAGTGCTTTCGAGGCGCCTCAAAAGTCGTCTCCTAACCGCAATTGAGGCGCCTCAAGACAAGAATCCTTGCCACAAGAGAGTGACGGGATGGCCTGGATTGGGATGGAACGGGGTTGCAGTGCAGGGGACGGCAGGAGTGAATACAGGCCAGGCAAGGGACAAGGGTGTTACCTCCTGGGCCTGCTGCATCTGCGCCCTGAGGCTGCTGATCTCATCCCTCCACATGCTGTCACTGCAGCACAGCGCAGCCAGGTGTGCGGGGCAGAACGAGGAGAGGCACGGATGTGGGACGAGCGAGCAGTTGCTGAATAATGAGAGGAGAGAAAATCCACGATGGTGTTGCAAAAGGGATGAGGGAAAAGGGATAAGCAGAACGGGATGTGGGAGAAGGGATGTGGGAGAGGGAATGTGGGAGTAGGGATGTGGGAGAGGGAATGTGGGAGTAGGGTTGTGGAAAAGGGATGTGGGAGAAGGCATGTGGGAGAAGGGATGTGGGAGTAGGGTTGTGGGAGTAGGGTTGTGGAAAAGGGATGTGGGAGAAGGGATGTGGGAGAAGGGATGTGGGAGAGGGAATGTGGGAGAAGGGATGTGGGAGAGGGGATACGGGAGAAGGGATGAGGGAGAGGGGATGTGGGAGAAGGGATGTGGGAGAGGGACTGTGGGAGAAGGGATGTGGGAGAGGGGATGTGGGAGAAGGGATGTGGGAGAGGGACTGTGGGAGAAGGGATGTGAGAGAGGGGATGTGGGAGAGGGGATGTGGGAGAGGGGATGTGGGAGAGGGGATGTGGGAGAGGGGATCTGGGAGAGGGGATGTGGGAGAGGGGATGTGGGAGAGGGGAAGGCAAGCTCACCCCCATCATTTTCACGGGATGTGGGAGAAGGGATGAGGGAGAAGGGATGAGGGAGAGGGGATGTGGGAGAGGGGATGTGGGAGAGGGAATGTGGGAGAAGGGATGTGGGAGAGGGAATGTGGGAGAAGGGATGAGGGACAGGGGATGTGGGAGAAGGGATGTGGGAGAGGGAATGTGGGAGAAGGGATGTGGGAGAGGGGATGTGGGAGAAGGGATGTGGGAGAGGGGATGTGGAAGAAGGGATGTGGGAGAGGGGATGTGGGAGAAGGGATGTGGGAGAGGGGATGTGGGAGAGGGGATGCATCCCCCACCCCCACTCCCACCCCCACCCCCACCCCCATCTCATCCCGCTCCTCTCACCTCCTCTCACCTCATCAATGGGGATGCTGATGCTGATGCTGATGCTGATGCGCTGATGCTGATGCTGATGCTGTTGCAGATGCTGATGCGCTGATGCTGATGCAGATGCGCTGATGCTGATGCTGATGCTGATGCTGATGCTGATGCGCTGATGCTGATGCTGATGCTGATGCTGTTGCTGATGCTGATGCGCTGATGCTGATGCTGATGCTGATGCTGATGCTGATACTGATGCTGATGCGCTGATGCTGATGCTGATGCGCTGCTGCTAATACTGATGCTGATGCTGATGCGCTGATGCTGATGCTGATGCTGATGCTGATGCTGATGCGCTGATGCTGATGCGCTGATGCTGATGCTGATGCTGATGCGCTGATGCTGATGCGCTGATGCGCTGATGCTGATGCTGATGCTGATGCGCTGATGCTGATGCTGATGCTGTTGCTGATGCTGATGCGCTGATGCTGATGCTGATGCGCTGATGCTGATGCTGATGCTGATACTGATGCTGATGCCCTGATGCTGATGCTGATGGCTGCTGCTGATGCTGATGCTGATGCGATGCGCTGATGCTGATGCTGATGCTCTGATGCTGATGCTGATACTGATGCTGATGCTGATGCGCTGATGCTGATGCTGATGCTGATGCTGATGCTGATGCTGATGCGCTGATGCTGATGCGCTGATGCTGATGCTGATGCTGATGCGCTGATGCTGATGCTGATGCGCTGATGCTGATGCTGATGCGCTGATGCGCTGATGCTGATGCGCTGATGCTGATGCTGATGCGCTGCTACTGATGCTGATGCGCTGATGCTAATGCTGATTCTGATGTTAATGCTGATGCTGATGCTGATGCTGATGCTGATGCGCTGATACTGATGCTAATGCGTATGCCGTTGCTGATGCGCTGATGCTGATACTGATGCTGCGCTGATGCTGATACTGATGCTGATGCTGATGCGCTGATACTGATGCTGATGCTGATGCGCTGATGCTGATGCTGATGCTGATGCTGATGCGCTGATGCTGATGCTGATGCTGATGCTGATGCTGATGCTGATGCGCTGATGCTGATGCTGATGCCGAAGCTGATGCGCTGATGCTGATGCTGATGCTAATGCTGATGCTGATGCTGATGCCGATGCTGATGCGCTGATGCTGATGCTGATGCTAATGCTGATGCTGATGCGCTGATGCTGATGCGCTGATGCTGATGCTGATACTTATGCTGATGCTGATGCGCTGATGCTGATGCTGATGCTAATGCTGATGCTGATGCGCAAGCTGATGCGCTGATGCTGATGCTGATGCTGATGCTAATGCTGATGCTGATGCTGATGCTGATGCTGATGCCGATGCTGATGCGCTGATGCTGATGCTGATGCGCTGATGCTGGTGCTGATGCTGATGCTGATGCTGATGCGCTGATGCTGATGCTGATGCTGATGCTGATGCTGATGCGCTGATGCTGATACTGATGCTGCGCTGATGCTGATACTGATGCTGATGCTGATGCGCTGATACTGATGCTGATGCTGATGCGCTGATGCTGATGCTGATGCGCTGATGCTGATGCTGATGCTGATGCTGATGCTGATGCTGATGCTGATGCTGATACTTATGCTGATGCTGATGCGCTGATGCTGATGCTGATGCTAATGCTGATGCTGATGCTGATGCTAATGCTGATGCTGATGCGCAAGCTGATGCGCTGATGCTGATGCTAATGCTGATGCTGATGCTGATGCCGATGCGGATGCGCTGATGCTGATGCTGATGCTAATGCTGATGCTGATGCGCTGATGCTGATGCTGATGCGCTGATGCTGATGCGCTGATGCTGATGCTGATACTTATGCTGATGCGCTGATGCTGATGCTGATGCTGATGCGCTGATGCTGATGCTGATGCTGATGCGCTGATGCTGATGCTGATGCTGATGCTTATGCTGTTGCTGATGCGCTGATGCTGATACTGATGCTGCGCTGATGCTGAGACTGATGCTGATGCGCTGATACTGATGCTGATGCTAATGCGCTGATGCTGATGCTGATGCGCTGATGCTGATGCTGATGCTGATGCTGATGCCGAAGCTGATGCGCTGATGCTGATGCTGATGCTAATGCTGTTGCTGATGCTGATGCCGATGCTGATGCGCTGATGCTGATGCTGATGCTAATGCTGATGCTGATGCGCTGATGCTGATGCTGATGCGCTGATGCTGATGCGCTGATGCTGATGCTGATACTTGTGCTGATGCTGATGCGCTGATGCTGATGCTGATGCTAATGCTGATGCTGATGCGCAAGCTGATGCGCTGATGCTGATGCTGATGCTAATGCTGATGCCGATGCTGATGCTGATGCTGATGCCGATGCGCTGATGCTGATGCTGATGCTGATGCCGATGCTGATGCGCTGATGCTGATGCTGATGCTAATGCTGATGCTGATGCGCTGATGCTGATGCTGATGCGCTGATGCTGATGCGCTGATGCTGATGCTGATACTTATGCTGATGCGCTGATGCTGATGCTGATGCTGATGCTGATGCGCTGATGCTGATGCTGATGCTGATGCTGATGCTGATGCTGATGCTGATGCTGATGCGCTGATGCTGATGCTGATGCTGATGCTGATGCGCTGATGCTGATGCTGATGCTGATGCTGATGCTTATGCTGTTGCTGATGCGCTGATGCTGATACTGATGCTGCGCTGATGCTGATACTGATGCTGATGCTGATGCGCTGATACTGATGCTGATGCTGATGCGCTGATGCTGATGCTGATGCGCTGATGCTGATGCTGATGCTGATGCTGATGCTGATGCGCTGATGCTGATGCTGATGCTGATGCTAATGCCGAAGCTGATGCGCTGATGCTGATGCTGATGCTAATGCTGATGCTGATGCTGATGCCGATGCTGATGCGCTGATGCTGATGCTGATGCTGATGCTGATGCGCTGATGCTGATGCTGATGCTGATGCGCTGATGCTGATGCGCTGATGCTGATGCTGATACTTATGCTGATGCTGATGCGCTGATGCTGATGCTAATGCTGATGCTGATGCGCAAGCTGATGCGCTGATGCTGATGCTGATGCTAGTGCTGATGCTGATGCTGATGCTGATGCTGATGCTGATGCTGATGCCGATGCTGATGCGCTGATGCTGATGCTGATGCTAATGCTGATGCTGATGCGCTGATGCTGATGCTGATGCGCTGATGCTGATGCGCTGATGCTGATGCTGATACTTATGCTGATGCTGATGCGCTGATGCTGATGCTGATGCGCTGATGCTGATGCTGATACTGATGCTGATGCTGGTGCTGATGCTGATGCTGATGCTGATGCTGATGCGCTGATGCTGATGCTGATACTGATGCTGATGCTGATGCTGGTGCTGATGCTGATGCTGATGCTGATGTTGATGCGCTGATGTTGATGCGCTGTTGCTGATGCTGATGCTGATGCTGATGCGCTGATGCTGATGCTGATGCTATGTGGGAGAAGGGAGGTGGGAGAAGGGAGGTGGGAGAGGGGATGTGGTGGCAGCATGCACTCACGTGGACATAGGGGATGGGGAGCGGCAGCAGATGCTTCTCCACCCCAACATCCCTTGTGAGGCGGTGCGCTGCAGCTTGGAAGAGGAAAAGCAGGGAGGAGCGTGGCATGGCGCAGAGGCAGGCGTGTGAGAGCAGGTGGAAGAGCAGGTGGGTGGAGAGAGGCAGGGTGGCGGGGTGGGGAGGAGACGAGCGAGGTGCTGCAGGGCTTGCCTGTTGGGTGTTGATTGGAAGGTGGGAGCAGGAGAGGGCGTGTTTGGGATCTCGGAACAGCATGGAGGGAGGGAGCGGTGGGGCATTGAGACGGCTGACCCGGCTACTCATATCGAACATAAAATGGACCAATGATAACAGAATTGCTCAGGAGCACGTCGGAGTTAAAAAAATCTAGCCGAGCTTCTCAGTGAGCAAGGGGACATCCCCATAGGCCGTACCCCACTGCCGCTGCTGCCCCTGCTGCCGCCAGCCCTGTGCCCACTGCCAGTAGTAAGGCTCTAGTAGGCTGCTCAGCTGCTGTGCGTTCATTCTCTGCTACTGCGCACCTGCATGTGAGAGAAAGGAAGAGGGGAAAAGGGAGAAAGGGGAGGAGGAGGAGGAAGGGGAGGAGGGGGAGGGAGGGGAGGCAGGGGAGGAAGGGGAGAAACGGGAAGAAGAGGAGGAGGGGGAGGAAGGGGAGGCAGGGGAAGAAGGGGAGGGAGGGGAGGAAGAGGTGGTGCGGAGTGAGTGCGTGGAGAGGGAGTGGGAGATGTGATGCACAACGGGGAACTGTGTGAACAAGAGAGAGAAAGAGAGAAGTGGTGCGGTGGTGCTGCTGATGGTAGTAATGGTGGTGCTGATGGTGATGGTGGTGGTAGGGAAGGTGGTGGTAGGGAAGGTGGTGGTAGGGAAGGTGGTGACAGGGAAGGTGGTGACAGGGAAGGTGGTGACAGGGAAGGTGGCGACAGGGAAGGTGGCGACAGGGAAGGTGGCGACAGGGAAGGTGGTGACAGGGAAGGTGGTGACAGGGAAGGTGGTGACAGGGAAGGTGGTGACAGGGAAGGTGGTGACAGGGAAGGTGGTGACAGGGAAGGTGGTGACAGGGAAGGTGGTGACAGAGAAGGTGGTGACAGGGAAGGTGGTGACAGGGAAGGTGGTGACAGGGAAGGTGGCGACAGGGAAGGTGGCGACAGGGAAGGTGGCGACAGGGAAGGTGGCGACAGGGAAGGTGGCGACAGGGAAGGTGGCGACAGGGAAGGTGGTGACAGGGAAGGTGGTGACAGGGAAGGTGGTGACAGGGAAGGTGGTGACAGGGAAGGTGGTGACAGGGAAGGTGGTGACAGGGAAGGTGGCGACAGGGAAGGTGGCGACAGGGAAGGTGGCGACAGGGAAGGTGGTGACAGGGAAGGTGGTGACAGGGAAGGTGGTGACAGGGAAGGTGGTGACAGGGAAGGTGGTGACAGGGAAGGTGGTGACAGGGAAGGTGGTGACAGGGAAGGTGGCGACAGGGAAGGTGGTGACAGGGAAGGTGGTGACAGGGAAGGTGGTGACAGGGAAGGTGGTGACAGGGAAGGTGGTGACAGGGAAGGTGGTGACAGGGAAGGTGGTGACAGGGAAGGTGGTGACAGGGAAGGTGGTGACAGGGAAGGTGGTGACAGGGAAGGTGGTGACAGGGAAGGTGGTGATGTGTGTGCATGGCATGGCACAGGCAGTGAGGCACTGACTCATGAGCACAAGGCACAAGTCCCTCAGAGCCAGCTTCATCAGATCGCCCTGCTTCTTTGCTGCCCCGCCTGCTGCTTCCTTTGATGCTTCGCCTGCTGCTGCTGTTGCTGCACATGGTAGTGTATGTGAGGGAAGGGATGCACGTGCAGCGACATTAGGAGACGCATGGTACCATATCAAATACCACATCTGAGTGCCATTTTTGAATGAATTGGGTGAATAAAGAGCGTACTGAGCATACGATCTGTAGACGGAAGATTAGAGCTATTGAATTCAAACCTTGTACTACTGCTATTCAATCAATGGAGGCAGAACTCTCTCACTAAGCTGTGCACATAAATGTATAATATCTCTACAAGCGTAGAAGACAAAAACAAAAAGTACCTTTGCTGCGTGCGATGAGCAGAGAGGCAGCAGCGTCAGCAGCAGCAGCCCGTGCTTCCCTGGCATGGTTGGAGGGTGGCAGGGCGCTGCAGCTGATGGGGGGGACAGAGGAGGGGGTTGCGGAGGGAAAGTGGGAGGTTGTTAGGAAGGGAGGGGAGGAAAGAGAGATGGAGTGAGAGACAGAGGGTTGGGGATGGAAGGTTAATATGGAATGAGATACCACAGTGGGTTACGAGACGATGGGAGATGAGAGGGAGTGAGAGGGAGTGGGAGGGAGACGGAACAGGAGTGGGGTTGAGAGTGAAGGGGAGTGTGCGAAGGGGAGTGTGAGAAGGGGAGTGTGAGAAGGAGAATGTCCGGGCATATGCATGCACAAGGAGGAGGGGGGTGTCAGCAGCCCATATGCGAACGAACATGAGGAGGAGCATGCGTGAGCAACGGATAGATGTCCATCACATGTCATGGCCTGGTATACACATCCCCATTCAGTATCAACTTCCATCCCTTTCCACTCCCCTCCCTTCCCCTCCCCTCCCCTCCCTTCCCCTCCCTCCTGCCCCTCCCTGCCCCTCCCCCCACAATTTAGACGCACGATGAGAGCACGTGCAGGAAGTGCTGCAGGAGGTGCTGCAGGAGCTGGGAGGCCAGCTGCGGCAGCGGCAGTGCGTGGCTGGACCCACACGCGCTCATCTCCAGCAGTGACGCTGCCAGGTCGAGGCAGCGAAGGGCGGAAGAGGGTGCGAGGTGAGAAGAAGGGGGGTGACAAGAGGGTGCGGGGGGGGGAAGAGTGAGCGATGAAAAGGACGCGGTGAGAAGAGGGGGGGCGTGTGAGAAGGATGGGGTGTGGGAGGCGGGGAGCGAGTAAGAAGAAGCAAGAAAGAGGTCATCTCCTGCACTCCTGGCTCACACTTCACCATTCAACACTGCCGCACCCCCCCATTCCCGCATCCCCCCACTGCCGCTCCCCCCCACTCCCGCATCCCCCCACTCCCGCATCCCCCCACTCCCGATCCCCCCACTCCCGCATCCCCCCACTCCCGCATCCCCCCACTCCAGCATTCCCCCACTGCCGCCAAGCATTACTTGCGGAGCGCACGAGCAGCACGGAGCGGGGCGAGAGGCGGCAGGGGCGGCCGTAGCAGCAGCAGGCGATGGTGACGACGAGGTTGCTCGCCATGCCCGCCACTTGCGCGCACTCCGGCTCGCTCTCGTGCGACAGCAGCGACGCCCTCGCGTCGTCGCACGCCTCGTCGCCCATCGCGAGCGTCGTCGGAGCAGGCGACGGCGAGGCACGCGGAAGAATCGGCGCGGAACGGCGCGAAGGTAACAGCGGCGAAGCACGGGGGAGGGCGAGGATGTGGAGAGCCTTGCCCATAGCTCAATATCCTGCGTGTTCTGCTGTGCTCCTCAACACATCACACGACGCACGGAAACAGGAACAAACGAAACAGCAGCAACCCAGGGCAACGCAGCAAATCAGCGACATGGCATCGACCAGGATTCTTACCTCACGAATAAGGCAGCCTCCACGGGCATGCAGAGAGAGTGCAGTTCCGGTCTTCGAAATATCCAAAACTCGAAATTGCTCGCCACTGCATGGCAGGATCGCCGCCGTAGTCTGCAAACAATGGCGACATTCAGACAAAGCCACGGAACAAGTGCGGGATGAGAGTGCGGAATACGATTAAGCGCCAAAAGCAGGGTCTAAAATAAGCGCACGACTAAGTACCTCGCCCACAGTCTTGGCGCACGACATGGGGGATTGATGGACTCCCGTGCGCTGTAGCTCACGGGATTGATCATCTCGCCACACTGCAGATTCTGCGTCTAAATGATAGTCATTAGGGATGAAACAAACACATTAAGCGTTGTAAAAACGAAATCCAAGGGTACGTGTGCTAGAACTGGGAAGAACCTAAAAAATAACAACAAATAACATGTACGATAGTGGTCGTCTTCGTTCATAACCACCATAAGACTCTCACCAGAACTAATCGCGACAACCTGCTTATTGATCAAGTGAGCTGCGTGGACCTCTCGTAGTAGCTGCTCTACGTGTGTATGAGGAGGTAAAAACGACCTTAGGAATGACGAGTGAGTAACAGGAGGATGGATAAGAAAAAGTACTCAAAAGGTGCTGGGGCAGGGGAGGCAGTAGAAGGCGGTGTCGAAGAGCTCCGATTGGTTCGTGAACTGGATAGTGCCACGTAGCCCAACCCATCACTGTTTTGAACATAGTGAGCGATGCGATATAAATTTGGAATCAGATAGAGAACAACCGTAATTTATCAATTCAACATGTTGAGAGACGAAATGTACAGCGTAGGCTTACCGAACCATTCCCGTAACGTGGCTGCCTCGGCAGAAGCAGAGTAGCGACAAAATAGGCACGGCCATCGACTTTCCCGCCAGAGTTGGGGTAACCTCGGGGTACCCTCCCGAACTGTAAATCTTTCCGATTGGTCGGAAATTCTCTTACCACGTTGGACGCTTAGTTGGCGGTCTAGGGTGACGTCGCCAGCGTTTTGGGGTAAGCTGCGGGTAGCACAGAGGGAACTTGTGGGTCACCACGTGAGGGTGACCCCGGGGTGTGCCTCATTCCGAAAGTGATTTCGGCGAAGTGAATTTTGGCGGGCCGTCTGCTGCTGCGTGCAGCTAGGCGTGTGCGACGCGCAGCAGAGATTTCGAAAACTAAGGCCGCTGGAACAACCACTCGTCGAAAGAAGGTCGTTTGGCAAAAGACTGTTAGATGTCAAGAAAAGTTAAAGCTCGCGTCTCATATTTCTGCCATCCAACCAAGTGTTAAACGGTTGGAATCCGGTAACAGCAGAGTTTGTCGCGAAGCACACCAAAGCAAGGGGTGGTTGGGAAAGTTGGCTGTCGCACACTTCCCCGTGCACACCAAGTGTTTACAACTCCCAAACATATGAGACTCTGAACTGAACGTTGACAGAACCCAGGACCAAACCTGTCACCCTTGCCTCGGTTTCCCCCCAAACCAACCCACCCTGGTTTGTTTTGGCCTCGATCTTTTGGAGTTCGCTGTGTTTTTTTCGCCCACTCGTCAAATATTTTGACTTTCGTTACCCAATCAAACCCTGGCAAACCCAACCAAGTGTTAAACGGTTGGAAATTAGAGACGCGAGCTTTAAGGAGATTACGATAAGGCACGGACGCTTACGCTAGATGCTCCATTCCTCTATCAGTCGTTGAGCACTACAGTGCGAGAACTGCGTGAAATGCGACAAGTTCAGTCGGAGTCCTGAACACGGAAAGAAATGGCAGCGTTGCGCATGACGACGCTCGCGATCCCCACCTCTCTCCATCTCCATCTCCACTACCTGGAGTAAATGGAGCGGAGAAAATGACGCTGCACGCCGCGAAGGTAACAGCGGCGAGGCATGGAGGAGGGCGAGGATGAGGCTGCTCTCTGCTGCTGCCTGCTGCTCTCTCTTTCTCTCTCCTGCTGTCTGCTGCTGTGTGCCGCTCAGCGTTTGCATCGCGCAGCGGAGATTCTAAACACTGAGGCCGCTGGATCAGCCACCATTGGAACTAAGGTCGTGCAAAGAATGATCGTTGCCACGAGAGATTAAGACAAAGCGGATAAAGCGGACACCACGAGAGATTAAGGCAAAGCGGATAAAGCGGACAAAGCGACGCTCGGACAATCCCCCACGACGGCGCTTCCCATCCCCCTCTCTCTCCGCAATCGCGCGACCACGATAGAAAGTATTTCGTTTATAACGCTGCGCGATTCAAGGTTCGACGCGCTCCGAAATGCGAGGAATGGATGAACGGCTCCGATTGTACCGATCGCACTCGCCTAGTCTGGAACGCGCAGATGCAGATCCCGCGGAGCAGCAGGCAGTGGCTGGCTGTACCACCCGATCCGAAGTCGCCATGGCATCGCTGCGCTCTGCGTTGCGATGGGACAGCAGCGTCGACATTTCCGCCGCTACGGCTTCGACTATAGCGACGCGACGCGAGCCGAGCTGACCTCGGCTTTCAAGTTCTCGCCTTGGGAATTGAATAACGAGATCTCCTTGCTTGCTGCTGCTTGCTCTTGCTCAACTGAGCTCTCGTCGCGACGATGAAAAGGGGTGCTCTTTCTTCCAACCGAACCGAACATCACTCTTCCTTGCCGCGTCGAACCGACCTCGGCTCAATGCTTGGGTTCAGAAACAAACAATATATGAAACAATAACATTAACTGGTCCAGTATTTACAAATTGCAAGGCACTCTATTCTCTGCCTAGATAAGCATGACTACAATCTCATAATATCTGAGGTACACTCAACTGTAGTTGATTGTGTCTAATCCTATCAACTACTTCCAGACAGGAAGTCAAGCTAGCCAGTGAAAGTGGACTGGCTCCAGTGACAGGATGCCATGCCATCCATGCCCACCCCGGCATGGACTGGCAGTGCACCGCACAGGCAGAGAGGGATGGTGGGCCTTGAGCATTGCCAGGACCAAGACGTGCGGGTGCCCTACTAGGGACTGGCTCTGCCCACCCCCACCTCCACCAAATGACATCACTGCTGGCCAGACAGCTTTGTCACTTGGTGGGGGCGGGAGGGGACAGAACCAGTCCGGTTCGGCTCGGAATCGAGTCCCCAGCCAATGCTCAAAGCTTCACCCCCATCTCATGCACTGGCCACGTCGCCACATCCACTGAGACTTGCGGCCCGTAAACGCACCTGCAGAAAGAAGAGGAAAACGACACAGATTAGTACAGGATCGAAAAGAAACGAAAAAAGGCAGCATGCATCAGCAAACAAAAGATCAGTTACTGCAAAATAAAGCCATGTGCATTAAAAAAAGAATGTTGATGGTAAAGGCTGAAACTTATCTGAGGTTGAAGAGTCTGGACTGGGGAGCGGAAGTTGAGCCTTGAGGCGCCTCAGCAGGTCATGGTGCTCCCATGGATCTTGGGCTTGCTGGACTGTGGCGCGGTGCAAGGCCTTGGGGGTCCATGGCGTTCACATGGCGCTTGGAGAACCTGCCATGAGGCGAAATTAAACAAGTCAGTCAATGACGATTTGAAGCACAGCTTGAAAAAAAAAAACCGGGAATCAGGAAGCTTGGAGTAAGCAGTCGGCGAGCATTGGAGCGAGAAATCAAAGGAAAAGGCTGGAGTTGGTACTTATCTTGCCACAGCTGAGCCTTGAGGCGCCTCAGAAAACAAGGCCATGGTGCTTCCATGGATCTTGATTCTTGAGCATGCTGAAAATCCCTTGGTGAAGCAACCTGCCAAGTGAAGTAAAAAAATCCAAGTTAGAAAGCCGAGTCAATGTAAGGAAACGTACCAACATGCAGCAAGTGATTGAAATGAGGAGTAAGACTTACTGCTGGTGGAGAAAGAGGAGGCACCTGCCAGGTGCTGTTGGCAGGTACGTTCACCCCGCCTTAAAAGAACATATAACCTGTAAGATATCAAGGGAAGTAAGTTAGTAAACAGAAGTGAAAAAAAAAATGCAGAGATGAACGGTGCTGCAAGTGTGGTGCAAGTGTGTGCTGCCTGCAGAGCCAATACCAACCAAAATACCTTAGGGGAACCTTTACCACCTTAACCAACCTCGACCTTTACCATAACCTCAACCTGATACCAAGGGGGGTGGCTCTGAGGAGCGTGAAGGGTGTGTGTGGTTGATACTTCAACCTTCACCTTCACCAGCCGTGAAGTCCTCTTCTGCTGCCCGCCATGAAGCATGGAAGGCCACCATTTGAAGAACGCAGTGGACCCTCAAATAGAACCTGCGAGTAATAACCAAGAAACAAGAATTAGTAAAGGTCGGGCAAAAGAAAGCATGCAAAACGAAAAAAAGCGTGGAAGAACAGAGCCAAATACCAACCGAAAAACCTTAAGGGGGACCTTTACCACACCTCGACCTGTACCTAACCTCAACCGGGGGGGTGGCTCAGTGAATTGTGGAGAGTGCGGTTGATACGTTCAACCTTCACTCGTGGAGCTGCTCCTCTGTTGTACGCCTTGAAGCATGGAGAGCCCCGAAGGCTGTTGCTCCTATAAAATCTTCGAAAGTGCGCCTAGCAGCCTCCAATAGCACCTGCACGTTTAAGAAAACATAAGTCAGTATACGGAAGTGAAGAAAGCAAAAGGAAATGAAGGCTGCAAACGTGAAAGAAACGTGAAAGA